AAGTCAAAATCCTCGCAAGGGGTTGCAAGTGCTTGAGCAGCGAGCTGCTGGAGTCATGGTTCTCAGGCCTGTGATCCATCAACAAGCCAAATGACCTCCAGTTACCCTACCCTTTACTGAGGTTTTCCCTGGGAAGGGGAATCAGTCACGCGAGGAGAGCGCGGGCGAGCAATCATCGCGGTGACAGTGAGCCAGTTTGCCGAGCACTCGTCACACCAGCATCCAGCACGGATGACGAAATCACGGCAACTAACGACTCGGACGCGGAATGACGAGCCAACATTGCCTTCATTGCGACCCCCAGCGGTGAGCGCGAGAGCCTTTAATTATAGTTTGCATGTGGTCCCACGGCAACTACGTCCTATATATACTGCATTGCCCCATTACCTTTATCTGAGACCGACTATAGTGTTGGATTCAAGTGAGAATCCGAACCGTCAGACCAATAAACTTCTTGTTCCACTGATTCCATCTTCGTCATCCGAACTGCTTTCTAGGACTTACCTGTTCGCTTCTATCGGTGGATTTAACTGTTTGCCCACGGCAGTCCTTCTCCTTCCACAATTGCCTTTAAAATATGATTTTTTATGCCCTAAAATAGCCCTCCGTTATCTTGGCAACATGCCCTATTTTTGGCGTCCGCCTACTTTAAATTCAAACTCATATGACAGAGCGCGCTATTCAAGGGGAGTTCCGGCAAAATTCTCTGCGGAACACTTAAACCTGCGATTATTCTATCAGTTAAAGAAAAACCATTAAATATTAGTCCTGCTTCCTTAATATATCCTTCCAAATGGAAACGAGACTTGATCGAGCCTGCCTAGCACATCATTCTCCGCGCGGAATACATAATTATTTATGTTTTTGTGATGCATAATTTATTCAACCAATTGAATCACTGTGGTCTTGCCAGTAACCCTCCTCCAACATGCATTATTTGCTGCTCTGCTAGATATTTCATGTGAACATCCTCGCAAACATGGGTCTCACAGATGAGGCACCCATTGGATATTTTTTGTTCAACGTCTGACGGTGATCTGGGGAACCTGTATCAAAATTTTATCTAACGACTTTTCCTTCCTTTCCTAAACAACGTATCTGAATTCAAAGGCATAGCTATATCTCTGTAGAAGGTTTCAGGCCGAACACGTTCCTCTGCTGTAAACATCAAAAGCATGTTTAATGAGCCTGTGCGTTCAATATATCTTGTCAGCTTTGTGCGTTTGTACTTTACTTTGCTTGATATTTCACATACTAATGAGTACTGAGGGACGGAATATCATAAAGGGCAACTACGCATTGCTGTTATAATTGCGTAAGATGCGCAGATGCGATAGCTGGAGCAAGAACTTAATTCGCCTGACGTTTTGTATTCACGTATCGGGATACGGGTAATTCATGAACAGAAAGTCGCAGTATATATAGGATGCAATCGTTGTGCTACCGCATACTATGGTAATTAACCGCTCTCCCCTTCATCAAGAGTTGTTGCCCGCTGGTGCGCTAACTGCTTGATTGCCGGCATACAAGTTGTCAATTGCCGAAATGTCATCACCCGTGTTGGATGCTGGCGTGATGATTGCTCCGCCATCTGGCTCACCGGCCTACACGCTCACCAGATGATTATTTACTTTGGCCAGACTATGCCCCAGCACGAAATATAGGGTGAGGATGCCATTGAGCTTGTTGGCTGATTGGGGCCCCGTGGACCATGATTCGGGCATCTTGCAGCTCACGAAACTATAACCTCTCACAAAAAACGTCAGGTGAATAAAGCTCTTGTTCCAGCGGTCGCTTCTACCTCTTACCGACCACCTCCTGGAAGTCGCATCTTTGGCTGCGTATTTTATCGCTGACTCAAATCCGCGAGGATGTTTTGATCAACTTACAAATATTAGAATCCGGTTCATCGTTCGTATACCACGATGCAAATAATTATGGAATATTGAGTGGTCTGGAATTAAGCCGTTCACTAAAATGAGGGACAGTTTTGTTATCGGTAGCGAGGTTATTTAGATAAGTGTACCTCCCAAACAAGCAAAGCGGTAAATGCGCCGGACCAACACCGGGACCACATCGTGTTGGCAAGCGTTATCGGGAATGCGCACCCATTCAGGGTGTGATGGCAGACCCACTTGATTGCTCATGTCGCGCCAATCCTTGTTGTTTTTGTTGTTGTTAGTTAGTTAAGATCCTAGTCAAGTGTTTGTTGTGGACCATTTGGTGTAGTAGTGCGCCTACGTGCAGTTCCTGCCGCGCCGGCAACCTGGTCCTCTCCCGCCTCCTGTATTCTTGATTGCGTCTTGAAACTGGGCCCAGGTGGGGCAGGAGGATACGGTGCAGCAGATGCTGCGCAAGTCTACTTTCGCAATAAACTAATTCGCGCACACCATGCTCTCAGCCTGAAGTTGTCGGCCACAACAGTCGAACTGTCATTCAGATAAGCACGGTTGGACACGTAAATACGGACCTCCGTACTACAGGTTTGGACTAGTGTTAGGGTTAGTTATGTGGAGTCTAGGTCACGACACATGGAGTAGAAATCCATTAGAATTTAGCACAAGGCTACTTGTAATGCTAGGTGGTCCACATTTCAGTGTTTGAATCCCAGAGATCGATCCTTAAAGACGGCACTTTTAAACCCCATTTTTCTGTCGATTTGAGAAGAAGATAACTTGGCAAATTCACAGAATCGTTTTAAAGATAATTTTTTTCAATCAAATCTTGGCGACGGTATAGTAAGGAGCCCGACTTAACTGTCGGCAGCCTGTTGATCATGTCATATTGGGTTTCATTTTGGCATCCATTTGCAAGCCATTGAGACACTGCATTGCAAACAACAATCACTACCCCTGTTTTCAAACCATTACCCAAACTAGGTTACTTTTAAAAGTTATGTTCTCGTTTATTTGTAAATTAGCGCGCCCATTTTCGTTGCCATAGGAAGGCGTACGAGAAGACTTTCGACATTAATCCAGGCAATTTCCGTGTTTCCTGCATTTTGTCAGCTTAGCGTCGGGCGCGCTGCCTTACCAGTAAGACTCTCATTACCGTCATTTCAATGTGACACGATTTGCAGTTTACTGACAGTTGATTGTGATCCCAGGGTTGTAATAATGACAAGCATGGAGTATAACTCAAAAATACTCCAGTTACTTTGAGATGCCGGTTTTGAACCGAACTTCCTTTCGGCCACCCACAAATATTGCACTTGGTAAAATTCAAAAGGCAATTTGGCGAGCATACGTTTGCTTTCGATAAATTCTCTTCAGGCCTGTACATTTATATGGCTATTGAAGTAATGAATGCAAAATATACGGGCAAATAGATAATTAATCTCTAGCTTGGGTTTGGAGAGGGGAGGGTAGGGGAGGGGGAGGGTGAAACACTATAATTCCAGTCGGCGCTAGGGGGAAGGTGGGTCCCGGCGAATGCAATTACATGCGGGTGTCTGGCTTGGTGGCTTTGACCCATGGTAACTGTGGGGCCTGCACGAAATTCTTCTGCGCGCATAGGACCGGCCGGCGTAGCCTAATTGCAGCCGCCTCTGAGGTTGCCAACAAGCGCTGTCCAAGCATTTTTTGGATAGCTTGATGGGACCTTGTAGATCACTCTGAAGGCCTCTGTGGCGTCTACATGGTGGCCTGTGTCTACCATGTGCGCGAGGATCGAGCTGTTGATGTTCTTAATTTGTCCCTTGGTAAAAAGTGACTGCGTAAGTAACATGAAATGTTTTCATTACGTTTCAGTGTCTTTATACATTCAACTATATTTCATAGAAAATATGCACCAAAGTATTCATTCTTTTAACCATGTGTTGGAAACCTACGTCTGCTTAAGATTTTATACTCGTGGAAAGGGTGTAATTAGGCTTAAAAAAGTTTTTAATCATGAGATTTTTTAAGACCATCAATGCCCATTTGCAAAACATCGTATCTCTGGATTTACTAATGTTACTTGGAAGGTTTACAATATTGCTCAAATCCACTGTTTGATTTTATAAACCGCTATACGATCTCCTCTGAATACCGTAAAAAAATGTGCGATTCTCTGAACATGGCAAAAATAAAGCTTGTAGTTTCGAAACCCTGAATGTAAGCGCAACGGCACGTCGGTTTCAGAATTAGTCTGGAATTTGGCTTACGTATCTTATACCAGATAATCCACAATTCACTGCCTTATAATGATTTTTCCCACAGCTGCCCGACCGTTGTCCAATCATCTTTCAGAAGAGTTCGTATATGCCACAACACCAGCCAAAATGGCACTGTTAAGTACCTGAAAGCGTTTCCAATTTATGCCGTCAGATAAAGTAAAACGCCAGTTCTTCTACCTAGCGCATGATCACTAAAGAGCTCGCCGGGCATATTGCTTCTCACAGTATTCGACAAGTCCCAAGTCATAACGCGACCTTAGTTCTTGCAGATATATGCTCTTATCCAGGTCTTGAACCAAGTAACTTTGATAAAAGCTTTTAGATGGAACATTCAAGTTATGACAGGGGTCAATTATTGGCCTGATGTGAAACTTTAAGAACGAGCCCTTCACTAATTTTATCTTGAACAGGCACATGAAAAGTTCCAAAATAAGATACCTACTTACCGATTCTCATTGTGTCAGCAGTAATGCCTATGTAACCATAAATCTAAGCGTGCTACAATGCGCCAAACTTTCGTGGATATTTTGAACAATATTAGCTCCAATTTTTCAAGTCAAAACGCCTTTTATTTGCAGTTGCATTATGCTTGAAAATGCATCCGATCTTAAAATGGTACCAGCAGGGTACACAATGACTTTTGAAGGAGTTCCGTTGAAACCGCCTCTGTAAACTCTACTGCTAAGGCCGCATTTACGTTTCCGTTAACTCTTATCGCTTGCGCAATTCCCACCCCATTCTTCAAAACAGATTATTTTTAAGGGAGTAAAATACTCTAATAATTGTTGAGTAGGAAAACGAACTAAATTTCAACGACCGTATAAACCTCAACTTGTGCGGAATGATGGTCCTGCTGGAGGAGGAGGAGGAGGAGGAGGAGGAGGAGGAGGAGGAAGAAGAAGAAGAAGACGCTGATATTCAGACCAAATGGAAGAAGTGACGCTATTGAATGTACACGTTGGTAGCACCTAGGCCGAGTTGATGGCTAAGGCGAAAAAATTCGAAGTTTGCCTCCCGAAAAAATAGGGCTATGGCAGACTTGGGCCAAGGACGGGGCTGTCGCGATAAATGGCTCAAGAAATCTGAGGATATGCCGGGGTAGGGAGGCGGAGAATCTCTTCAAGGATATTAAAGCCGTCTAGGGTCGTCAAGCCAAGAACTGTTTGAGCAAATGGAGAGGCACAGTTGCCCGCGTAATTTTCGCTGGGTTCATGCTGGGATCTGTTAATGGGACAAGTGGATTAAAGCAGCGCTACTTTCTTGCACTGTCCCCCACCCCTTCTAGGCGTCCACCAAAATAATGGGGGCATAACTTGTGAGCTGACCTAGAACCAGCAATTCCTTCCGAGTTGATTCTGTCTACTCTAGGTACAATGCATCCAGACAAAAATGAGAGTTTACTGTCAACAGTCTGTTAACAAGTGCAATAAACCTCCTCTTCCATATTCAATGTTGACACCGCCTAGGCGAGGTATTTAATCACGTGGAGAGCGCACAGGTGAACACTATTTCCAACGGCAAGGTCGGTGGGTCAGATGGTCGAACAATCATCACACCAACATCCAACGCGCGTGATGAAATTTCAAAGATTAACAACTCGAATATCGACCATCGAACAATCATCACGTCAGGTGCGAAAATCCGATGAAGGGGGTAGCTGCTAATTTTCATAGGTGTGCGGTAGCATGGTGACTGCATTCTATGAATACTGCAACCCCCATGTGCATGAACTACCCGTATCTGCCATTGCCTCGGACTGCGGTTTCGGACAGAAATCCAAAACGTCAGGCAAATAAAGCGCTTGTCTCAACGATCGTGTCTGCATCTTTACGTCTGCTTCCTGGAACTCGTCCCCTCGTTCCTATTAGTACATAGGACCACTGTCCACGACTTTTTATTCGAGAACAACTGCGCGTTGAACACCAAAACAGGGCAGTGATGCAGTGGTCTGATCACCAACACGGAGATGGGTGTATCATTAAACCAGTTGGTGCCATCTCAGAAACATAACAAGTTTGAGTTCAGTGGCAGTGGGATTAGCCTTCCAACCACGAATGAGTCCGAGGACCTAGAAGACAACAGCTTACGAAGTATCAAGATCGAGGACTAAACTGCGCGTCGGATTTCTAAGGCCTACCGGCGATTTGGTCGGTTGCAATATGCGGTCTGAAATCTCCTCTTCCACCACCACCACCACCACCACCACCACCACCACCACCACCACCACCACCACCACCACCACCACCACCACCACAACCACCACCACCACCACCACGACCTCGACACGTACCTGAGAATGCTCGCAGCTGTCTGCTTGACTATCCTCTTGTACGGGGGGAACCAAGCCGTTTGACCTCAGGTACCGTTGAGAAGTACTGTGAGTGATGAGGAAAGAGAAAATGCCAAATATTAGGATCCTGAGAAAGGCTAGCGGACTAAATAACTGCAACTGCGATCGAACCGTTGCGTCTGTAGGACGGTCAGCGCACGGCTTCCGAAGGGACTACGCTAAGGTGACACTGCAGACAGCGTTGACGTACGAGGAAATCCTGAAAACCTTTCTTCCTAACTTCAGAAAGGTTACTGATAAGTATAGTATCGACAGACGTTTCGCAGGAATATTAAGATCTGGCTGAATAAAGGAGGCCAAGGCGGAGCGACTGACATTCAAGGCTTGAGTGTTACACATCAAAGTAGCCAAAAGTTAACCCTGTCGACATGTTCAAACTGTAAATTGACTTCTGGGATACGGCGTAGACTGTGTAGATATCTGAAAACCCACAACAAAGTATAACTGCCGTCCAGACTGAAAACAACACTGTAATTTTTTATCTGCGCTGCTGAGACACGACATAAAAGTACGTGTCGTCAAGGCAGGTGAAATGACGCAAGTCCTTCCGATCAAACATTTAAAGGACGTGTCAGCCGATTTAGCTGTCCGCGATTCCATCGCAGTGCGACCGTGGAAGCAGTGCTAGGAGACATAACTTGAATTCCCGCAGTTTGCAAAATATTCGTACATGGCATACGTGTGTTTTGCCATGTACGCATACTCAACAATGATCAAGAAGGCGATGTAGTTGAGGTGTGCCTAATCCCTAACCAGACACCAGTGCACCTCAATGATGTAGTAGCCATTTTGTCACACGCACATACGCATAAACTATCGTCAGATTACCCGTCATGTAAAACCCACTCAAAGGATATAGCAGCGCCTTTATAACGGACGAAAATTTATGGGCTGATATACGCGTCGCACTCACTCATGTGTTTTGTTGAATTGCGGCTATGTAGAATGAAGATGAGCAGGTGTGTGGCACGCGTAGACGGGACTCTTACGTCATGCTTGCCCCTGCGTCCAGCCCCATTGCAGGGTACACTGAGAAGTCTCTGCTGCACGGTAGAGCAAAGGGAGGTTTAAACTGGAGCTCCTTGTTCTATGAAAACCCAACACACACATCACTATGAGAAAACAGGCAATAATGAACTTTTACGGTTCACTGAACGCCGCAAATGGCCAGTGCAGCCGTCCTTTCCGGCAATGTCCACCGTGTGCTCCACAGCATGGTGTAAGCAGGCCTGGCGACTTGTGTGCGATTAAGTTTATAGTGAATGCGGACATTCACAGCCTCTACCGCACTCTCTCCTCCCCCCACCGGGGCCCGGTGTCAAGACAGATTCAAAAAGACCGGAGACGGGAGAGGGCGCATGCCGTAACTCAGAGTGTCGCCAACTGACCAAATAACCTCATTCGTTTTATAACTGGCAATGAAAGTATAATGCCTTCATTTGGCGTGAATTCAACAGAAGATGAAGATGCGATCACTGGAACAAGAAATTTATTTGCCTGACGTTTCTGATTCTCCCTCGAATCCATCATCAGAGACATTCGCAGATAAAGGTGATGGTGGCACCAGGAGTGCAGTATTTATAACACTTGGCTGCCGTGGGACCGTATGGGCATTGCAATTAACAGTTCTCGCAATCACCGCTGGGGTCGTAATTGATGCGGTGGTGGCTTGTCGGTCCGAGTCCGAGTCGTTAATGGCCGCGATTTCGTCATCCGTGCTGGATGCTGGTGTGACGATTGCTCGGCAAACTGGCTCACTGTCACCGTGATGATTGCTCGCCCGCGCCCTCTCCACATGACTGATTCTCCTGCCCAGGGAAATTCGCAGTACGGAATAGGGTACCGGGAGGTCATTGTGCGAGTTGATAGATCGCGGGCCTGAGAACTGAACTGCTACCTGGAACTCGCCTGTTCGCTTCTATCATAATTACAACAGCCTTCACGCTTGCGCGATCCAAGTCGACCCCTTTAAGTATATTTCGTGTGCGTAGACGGACTGATATTGGAACTCCAATAGGTGGACAAAACAAATGTTGACAGATCCCAGAATATGCCCACTTTGCTCCCTCTGCCCCATTGCATTTTCGCAGAGACCCGACCGCGCGTGACTGAGCGAACACAACAAATGCTTTTACCAATTCCCGTGAGGCTTTCGTGTTGCGTAATGTAGGTTTTTTGTTGTTGTTGTCGCGCTGCTGTTGTTGAAGACTTTGCCTATCGCAAAGTTATTTTACAATTTTTTGTCACTTCTATACTTACAGTAACTGCCGGGACACCAACTAAACCGAATCGCCCTTAAATGTGTCGTATTAAAGAGATTTTCAGATTGCTTCTGACTTCTGCATTTAGTGATGATTGAAGGCAATTTATATGATGGCTTAGGTGCTGTCTAAAATGCAGTCACGTGTTGGGGGTAATAATCGCACTAATTAAAGTGTCACCAAATGGACTCATTTTCGGAAAGGAGCCAGCAACAGATTACGGACAAAGATCGCGACTTCTCTTGACTTCGAGCTGCTCACTGTGATAGTATTAGGCTTGTTTACTACGTAAAATGTGTGAAAGTGTTGTTGTAGCGGTTACTTGAGCATTTTTGCTCATAGATGGGGCAAAATAACATTTATTTTCAAAGTGGCCAGTAAACTAATATGCTTATTTGATTCTCCCTTCGTTTGACTTAAAGTGAAGTCTTCCTGCTAGAAAATGTCCCAGTGCAAGGCAAAAAGGATTAAAATATTCTTTACAGATTGTAGGACGTTGGGTGAGAACGTTATAGCATTGTGGCACAGAGTGTTTACGAGTATAAACCCACTTATTTACCAGAACGCGCCCAAATTCTAAAGCTGCCGGATTTATCTCTGAGTAGACATATCAACATTGAAATTATAGGCTATGTGGGAAACCAGTCGCATTACTCATGGGGAAAGCGTCTGAATCTGTTTTCCTTAACCTGCACCTGCCCCTCCAAAGTGGAAAAAAATTATTATTAGAAAGAAAATTTCTTTTTCCATGAATGGTAACGCGCACGGTTTTTACCGAACGGTTCTTAACACAGTAGCAGGAAAAATGTATCCTATAATTTGTGGGAAGAACACGGACGAAAATGACAGCATCTTGTGCTTTTAAAGAATCTAACTAATACTAGCCCGAGAATACAATTTTAGGCATGAAAGCTGTTGCCTTAAACGTGGGCCTTTGATAAGTTAGTTATATGTAATTAATTTGGTAGAACGAGATAGTTGGTAATGAATATGGTGTGCGCATTTGAAGTGCTGACGGTTGTACAATTAAAAGGAGAATAAAAAAATTAAGGATAAATAATCAAAGTAAAATTACTAAATTAAAAGTAAAATAATCAGTCAGTTAACTGGAAACACCTTACAAAGTGTTCCAGCAGTTTGTCAAAAGAGAGAGCACCAGTAAGGAGTAGGACCCACAATTAAATTTATCCAGCCTGTGGACCGTGTCATATGTTGAATAGTGGTAGAGGAGGTTTTACGGGTGGGACAGCACACAGGACGGAGAGTAAGAAGGCGCCGAAAAAAGACAAATTTCTGCCAAAAGTTTTATTGTATGCTGTCATTTGGCAAAGAAGGTGAGCGTGATAATCAAAAAATAAACAAATGCATTTTTTTAAAAAATAAGGGACTCCGAATAAAGCGCCGTTAGTATGTTTGAATTTAGACAAGAAGGGGAGGAAATTTCAGATAATGGGGACGGTTGATGACAAGTCATGCTTATTGTCGAACTGAATTTGAGGGTAAATTTTTGTAGATGTCCTCTAACTGTGGGTCCTACACTCTACCGTTGCCGAAGAGCGTCTCCTGTTCGCTTTCTGTCGCTTATGTTGCTGGTTTTTCAGAAGGAAGCCTTAGGAGGGACGGTCCGCTTTTCTGAATATACCTCAACACCAAGCCACTATTGCCCGAATCCTCATCGGGACGTAATAACAAGACGAGCAACCGGGAGGAGTTTTAAGGAAGTTTGTGAAGGTGAGGGTTCATTTTGGGCTGGCGGTGTAGCGTCAGTCCGACCATCGCGAAGGACGATTTGTGCAGCATCAACCTACCTTTCCCCCTTACCACCCTGTGCGGCGTGGCTAGACATAGTCAAGAGGACCGCCGAAAGGATTGAACGTATTGGCTGATAAAGTCAAAAAGACTGTGATCATTTGTCACACACACATTTGGCAGACAAGTGACAAGTTTTTAGAGAACAAAAGGGCAGACTTGGGCGGCATCTGCCGCTCTCTCTTCTCCTTCGACCGCTCGGATCCGGTCTCAAACAAGAGTGGGTAAAACCGGAGTTGGAATCAGTTGCAGTGTTTGGAACAGTTAAAGAACTAGTCTGCGCGTTCTGCATACGACCTCGTGCGTGCGCGCTTCATGCATTCTTACTGCCTACTAATAACGTTCAGATTTTTTAAAATAAAGTAAATATGCCAATAGAAGCGGGGAGACCAGTCTCAGGAATCAGTCGGGATCAACTACTGAGATTGAAAGAACGTCTCATCGCGGTCTTCTCGGACATCCAATTTACGATGGGGGAGGAAGAGAGCAACCAACTCGCCTCCCTGAATGTCCTTGTATACCGAAAACATTGCGGTGACATAAAGACAAAATTGCTCAGGAAAGCGAAAGATACGACACAAGTACTGAACTTCAACAGTAACCACCCAGTCAGCCGCAAACACAGTTGTGCAAGGACACTCTATCGGCGGGTTGAAACGTACTGCAATTGACCACAAGACAAGATTGCCGAACTACAATAACTTGACGGGTGTTCTGAGCAAATGGCTACCCGCGCAACTTCGTCAACCGGTGTATACGCAAAAGGGACGAAAAGCCAATATCGAATGGACCCCAAATTTTAACAAGGGCCTCCGTATGTCAAGAACGCTTTGAAAGCTGTCGGCCGCCTTCTCGCACCGCTTTGCGTTGGAGT